GAAAAAATTCGTGGATGAAAATTACAGAAAAAAAATTATATTTTAAGGCTTATTTTTTATTCCAATAATAGTTGAAGTGATCTATAGTTGTGTGTGTGGTCATAGGGGTACGTATGCGATTGTATTCCAATAATATTTTTTACTATTTAATTTTTGTCCTTTTATGTATATGCATTATTCTTTCAAGCTAGCAACCACAATAAGTTGACCTGTAGTTCTATAATATTAGTATGCATGCATTATTATTTCAGTATAGCAACCAGAAAACAGTTGACCTGTAGTTGGCATTTGAGTTATGAATCCGAGCTGCCAAAGTGTGGCCAGAAACTGAGATAATATGGAAATTGAAGGAGGTGGACAGGTATTTATTTCCACCGCCCAAAATAATGCTTTTGCAGAAACAGCAAAACCTATCAGATGGCATTCTTCAAGCACGAAAGGAAAAAGACAAAAAATGGAGTAATTTTTGGGTGTTCCAGGTACACCACGTGGCTGGTGTACCATCCAATAGACGAAGGACATATGGAATATTTCCAATACAGCCCGCCAGATGTCATAAAAAGAAATGCAGTAAGTTAGACAATAATTCCACATGTCCTATGTTTATTGGATGGTACACCAGCCACGTGGTGTAACTGGAACATATAAAAATTTCTCCAAAAAATGGGAGGGATTTAGAGTTCAGACCAATCACATAGCCTCAAACAGAAGGCGACTCTTTTTTTTTTTTGAACTCCTCTTTTCTCCCCTTGGAATGAGTAGGGATCTCAACCTCTACATTTAACATTTATGTAATATATTAGTAAGTATATTTTTGTTCACTACTTTAATTCAAGGTGTACTTTTATTATCTTTCTTAATATTTGACTCGTGTCTATTTGACACAACTATAGTTACATAAGTATAATTATACTAAAAAAACACGTGTCAAGTATTTGAGAATGATGATGAGAATACACCTTGAATTAAAATAGTCATAAAAATATGCTCCCATATATTAATAGCAGGCTTTCAGGTTTCCTTATATTATTGGTCACAATTATTTCTCTTGGGTGGTAGACTACATATAATATTGATATATATGGGGAACATGCATTCATTGTTTTTGTTCATACTGGATTTGACTTACTTACCCAATGAAGTAATAGGACTTTTGGATACGCATCACCATCATCTTTGTCATCATTGTTGTACGCTGAATCACGTGGACGATTTTAGTACATGCATCTCTCTATCTTTTATGCGTCAATTTGAAGACAAAAAATCATCACCATCTAGTCGTTGTTCTTACTTTTCACGTTTTAATTTTTCTTTTCTCTGTGGCTCTGGGCCGACAAAAGCAATGGTAGAGTCCTTTTGGTACAATTAAATTGGCGTTTTGTCTTTGTGGCTTGCACAATAATTATAAGTTGAACTAACTAATCCACTCATTATTATAGTCAATTATGGACAACCCAAACAAAAAACATATATTATATATACGGAGTAAATGACAAAGAAGAAGTTACGTAAACATTTAGGATGTTGCATGTTTTTGTTTTTTTTTTTTGTAACAAGGGGGGGCTAAAAGCCCAGCAACACCTAAGCAGCAACAAAACGATGCATGGACACACCCATGGTATCAGCATACAAAATATCCTTAAGGAAGTCGGGAATTATTTTATAGAGATAAGGAACGGACCTAGGATTTCAAAATGGGGTGGGCTAGAATTACGTTATTGAACTGTTAGATTTTAGGCTTGGCTAAACCCTTAAGGGAGGCTTATGGAATTGATTCTCTTATCCGGATGTCTGCACGTTATTATCGTGCGGATGCTATTGTAAACAAGCAGGAAAGCAGAGAGAGGTAGTACAAAATACATGGCATCCGCACGATAATAACGTCCGAATGTCCGCATAAGAGAATTTCTGTATATATATATACATATATATATACCAACTAAGGCCTACCATGATGAACAAAAATGAATTAAGAGAAAAGAAAATTCATAAGAAGATTCAAAAATGAACATTTATCATCACAAAGATAGAGTCAGAAAGACACACGGCACCTAGAGGTAAGACTACAATTATCCAATTAGTTTAATTGATATTTATGCTCAAAATGGGCTTAACATTAACACTAACCATAAGAAATAAATAAATAAACTCACCTGGGCTATAGCCCAGGTTGTACAAGTCATAGGTTCGTGCTTGAGTCCTAGGACCAAAATCAATGCTCCTAGCAGGAAAAGCTTCAACAGCAAAATTATGCTCATGATAGATATGGTTTATAGAACAATGCCAATCCTTGTTGATCTTTGACTTGCAACAACATATGATGCTGAAGAGGGGATGTTCATCCAAAAAGAAGTTACGTAAAATTATCTCTAGCTTTATGAGATACATGCTTATGTTGTGAGTTCAATAATGTAGCATTGCATTGTCAAGATCTAAAAGATTAGTTTATGTGAGAATATGAAGGTAAAAATGTCCTATATTAGAAAATTTAAAGATCTAGCAAGAGTTTATAAGGAGTTGTGCTACTCCCTTATTATCAATTAATTTTGAGATAGAAACTCAACTTTCTCCAGTTCGATCAAAACATTAATAAATAGGATAAAAAAAAGCGCGTGCATGGAAATTCAATAATATTGTGAATCTGATGTTCTGTCTGCTACACTACCACTATATACTCTAATCCAAACAAAGCACAAGATTCAATGCAACCAGAAATGATTTATTTTATGAGAATCAACTTGGGCAACGATGGCAATGCTTCTACTGGCTTTGTCCTAAGAGATAGTGATGGTCATGTGGCTTGGCTCATGCGGTTCACCGTGGTTTGAAAAAGATTTTGATTGAACTAGACTCTAAGCTCATTATTGACTGTGTGCGTCCACAACATGTTAATTCATGATGTGTGGCACTTGAGCTCCTTTTGCGATTCCATCAAGATTACTCCTGCTTTTAGAGAAGCCAATTTCTTGGTTGATGCCTTAGCCAACGGAGGTCATGGGTTGTCCCCTTCTTCGTGGAAAGTTGGACTCCCTTTACATATAGTGCATGTTTTCATTTTTTACCACTTCGAGTATGCGTGTCCGAGAGATTTCGGGTTGTAATATCTTTTATTCGATAAAAAAAAAAAAACAAACTTGGGCGCAATCAACCAGAAATTAAAGTAATCATATCGGCTTGGGTTGCGTTGCCATGAAGTTTGAGCTTTTGTGATGAATGCCCATGGGCTGCTCATATTCGTAATAGATTTAGCCTACTACCTGATGGATTATGCAGAGCTTTCCAACGTATTTCACTGGTCAGGCCCAAAAAAGCAATAGGCACCCAGAGAATTTGCTCAGGGAAACCAGCCCCTCTTTTCTTCCCTTTTATTTTTGTCCGAAATCTTTTATTTTATTTTTCATTATAACAAAATCGGGGAACTTTTTAATTCCTTGCTGAGTAGTGTCTAGTGTGAGTACACCCAGGGGTGAAAATGATAACTTTCGAAAAGTTTGGTGTCTTGAGCAGATTTCAGGTGAATTTAGAGGCCTCGAAAGACAAAAACGTAATTAATGGGGCCGCTTTTTTTGTGTCGAAGTAGGCCCAATAACATTATACAACTATAAAATCCCGCATGATTTGTCCCGCATTTAGGCGGTGGCGCTGAAACCCAAACACTAAAGTCCACAGCCACAACAACATTCACTTCATACAGAAGCAACATACCCACCATTCCCAGACTCTGAATCCATCAGCTAAACAAGGAAGAACTGCTAAAAAAGGAAGAAGAAAAAAAGAAAAAGAAAAACAGTATATGATTATTCTTATTCTGACATTAAAAATCTAGACTGGGGTCAAATTGCAGATCTGTTTCGGACAATGTAAGCCAACCCAAATCCATCGTTTTCACTGAGCTCATAGAACACCCAATATACAGTCTATGCTTACTGTTCTATCAACTGAAATTGTTAACCTTGCTCCGTTGCGCACACAAATTGGAAACACATTGAGACCACAATCAATCACAATGGTAGACAAAATGCAGACCAGGGCATCGAGTGCTCGTGTTTTCCGATCCCGGATTCCAACGCTCTTGGTCTCCATGTTCGCCACCTTCGCTTCCATCTATGTGGCTGGCCGGTTTGCTCTCTTCTCTCCTCTCTTCTCTTCTCTTTTGCATCTCATTTGATTTTGCAGAAAATTCGACCCATATGATTTCCTCCCTTTTTCTTTGATCTGGGGATTTTCTGATATTAATTTTGGGATGTAGGCTGTGGCAGGATTCGGAGAACAGGGTTTATTTGATCAAAGAACTCGATAGGGTTATTGGGCAGGTGGGTATGTCTTGGTTTTGTATTTAAGATTGAAATTTCGGTTCTTTTCTTTTTTCTCTTTTCCCAATTGATTCAGGCATGTGAGCAAATTTGGTTTTTGAGTCAAAATTCACATTTGACTTTAGGCAACACCAGCTTGAACTATTATTGCCTAACACCAACTGCAATCCAGATGGATGATTTTTTCTTATTTGGCCAATATGAAGTGCCTTTCTATACTTGTTCGAACTCAGATGTATACTTGTATAGATAGTTGAATTACTCAGGACTAATTGAGTTTACCACTGGAAACTGTTTTTTGTGTGATTTTTTTAGGGGCGATCTGTCATATCAGTGGATGATACGTTGAAAATCATAGCCTGCAGGTAAGATGCAGTCATTTGTTATCTGGTTTAATTGAAGATTTCTGATGGAGTTTTTTATTTATGATTCTTAGTTTACATATGAATCTATGGTTCTGATGTTGGCTTTCGGTTGCTAGGGAACAACATAAGAAATTATCAGCTCTTGAGATGGAGTTGGCTGCAGCTAGACAGGAGGGTTTTACTTCAATGCGCTCCACAGAGATTAATGGAACTGATTATAAGAGAAGGCCACTAGTGGTGATTGGAATTTTTACAACCTTTGGTCGCAAAAACAATAGAGATGCAATTCGTAAGGCGTGGATGGGAACAGGTAACGCACTAATCTTTCTATGGGCTCTATTTTCTGTTTCTGTTAAATTTAAATTTATTTTCTTTTTAATGTGGCACACATATGATTTGGTCTTGTATATAAATTCTTGAATGATAACAGATCACGTGGAATGTTGTGCAATGTTCCTGTTCAATGTTTTAGTTCTAGTAAGTGCATTGAAGGTTATCATTTTTTGTTTTGGAGGTTTTAAAGTTTGCATGTTAATATACAGGTGCTGCCTTGAAAAAAACGGAGAATGAAAAGGGAATAATCGCTCGATTTGTAATTGGAAGAAGGTTTACTTTTCATTGTATTTCTTTAATTCTGTAACGCTCCATGCCAAACATACAATGATAGTTGGTTAGAGCCCTTCATCGGATGATATGTTGTCCTGCAGTGCAAATCGTGGGGATAGTTTGGACAGAGCCATTGACAATGAAAACAGGCAGACTAAGGACTTCATTATTCTTGTACGTTTTACTGGTCACTGAATTAAGTAACTTCCTTTAATTTGGTGTACATGCATGCTTGCATGTGCGTTTGGCGTATGGAGATGTTAGCTTCAGTATTGTGATTATTTCCGCTCCCATTATTGGCAGGATACCCATGTAGAGGCACCTGAAGAGTTCCCAAAGAAGGCTAAACTGTTCTTCGCTCATGCTGCTGAAGAATGGAATGCTGAGTTTTACTCCAAAGTCAATGATGATGTCTATGTAAACATTGGTTAGTATTATCATTTATTAGATGGACTCATTTTTCCGTTTGCATTTGTATGCTTATCCTTTTTTCATTTCTGGCCAGATGCTCTAGGAGCTACACTTGCAACTCATTTAGACAAACCTCGTGTTTATATGGGGTGCATGAAATCGGGCGAAGTTTTCTCTGAGCCGTGAGTATATGTAACCTGTTAACAAGATAAGAGGTAAATATGAATTGAAAGATCATCTAATGTCTCATATTTGTGCACGCTGGCTTTTTCAGGAGCCAAAAATGGTATGAACCAGAATGGTGGAAGTTTGGCGATAAAAAATCGTAAGTGTCACTACAACTTATTTCAAGCTCCCCAGATATTTTCCTCTTTAAACTGAAATCCAAGTTTCTGCTTCCAACAGATATTTCCGCCATGCTTCAGGTGAGATGTACGTCATATCTCAAGCTTTGGCCAAATTTGTTTCAATCAATAGGTGAGTATTCTTCTCCGATGAACTGGTTCCATCATTTGCACCATATGCAGAGCAATGACTGAATTTTGTTGAATTGACTCTGCAGAGCTATACTCCGTACCTATGCCCATGATGATATCAGTGTCGGGTCTTGGTTTATTGGGATTGATGTTAAACATGTGGATGAAGCCAAATTTTGCTGCTCCTCTTGGACGGGAGGTCTCTCTCTCTCCCTCTCTGACTTACTCACACACACACACACACACATAACCACATCAGAATTTATGAGCCTGCTTATAATTCATTTTATTACCTCCCCAAGGTGATTTGTTAACATAAACCTTTGCTCTTTCAGGAGCTATTTGTGCGGGCGTTTGATTTGATTTGCTTTGAGGTTGTGTGAGAAAATATCAACCAGAGGCAGAGAGAAGGTCCGAAAGATATTTTCGCATCCCTTAGTGATGTTTCCAGCCTGCATGATGTAGAAGAGCTTGGAGGAAAAATCCTAGCTCAAATTGATAGTTGATACTGGGCGTCTTGCCCATCAGATGAAATGGGTTTGCCCTCGTAGCATGGGGACACTGCAGATAGGGAAGATGAGATTTCGACAAATCATGCCTAGAAGGACCGAGCTGTATAGATTTCAATTATACAAATTCGGAAAGAATAATAGAAGGCGTTCGTTAGCATGCTTTTTTGGTCCTTGGGTTATCATTCTTCATTCAAAGAAAAAGAAATTTGTGATTCTTTTTTATCGATTAATAACACCACATAACTTTGGAAAAGCTTCTCATCTCTAGAATGATAATCAAAGATGGTTGATTGTATTCTTATTCAGTTCAGTTCGTAGGCTATTCTTGTTCTCTTTGGCCAAGTTCCTGGACAGCATTGGAAAATCTCAAATCTTATTTGATGATCTCCATTAATTTGACAAGGAAATTGACCGAGTTGCAAATATAAAATGCTGGGCGTTTCCAATTATTGACATTTAACTCAAAATTGTATTCTTATTCAGTTCAGTTCGTAGGCTATTCTTGTTCTCTTTGGCCAAGTTCCTGGACAGCATTGGAAAATCTCAAATCTTATTTGATGATCTCCATTAATTTGACAAGGAAATTGACCGAGTTGCAAATATAAAATGCTGGGCGTTTCCAATTATTGACATTTAACTCAAGCATAAGTAACATAATATGTAAAGCTCTAACCAAAATACACTGACCACCATATGTAAAGCTAAAAACAATAATTTTTTTACAATCAGTGTAGGAAAGCAAAAAAAATTGAAACCTAACTTTCGCAAGAAAGATAGCATCACACTATTATAGGGGTAAATACAAGAATAATGTTTCATGAATGTCTCATGATGGACTGTTGAGAAAATGTGCCACTGCCTTGTCCGTGTCATTTTCATACATGATTAGGGCTTCGGCAACATCGTTTGATGCAAATCCCATCTCTCGAAGTAGGGTGAATGACTTGGCAAATTCTCGAACCTAGAAGACAGAAATTAAAAACATTCTTACACTTTCGTTTTTTGGACGAAAACATTCTTCCACTTAAACAGCTAAATTTGAGATCATAACTACCAGCACCCTCTGAACTTGCTATAGTTAATCAAGCTTAATGTGTATAGGCAGAGGGCTCAAGAAAGCACCTTAGTAGGATTGTCTCCATAATTTGCTACGGCAAGAGGAACTGCTTCTCGGCTGAGACCTGAAGCAATGTATTTGCTGACAATGGGATCTGCAACAGAACCCTGCAATAACAATAAAATACACAAAGGTAATTTAAACAAATACAGCCAAGAAACATCATTCTCAACTGAAACGATAAAGAATTCAAAAACAATTTTGTAATAGTGGCCTTTTTGTATATTAATGACAGATTTGACACACGGAAAAACTACTTCTATAAGTAATTCGTGTTTGATTTGCATTCATTTACAAGACTTACACAATGAATTGATGAAGAACGCAAATGTCACCAGCTACATTTACATAAAAACAGAACTATCAAATGTGAAAGATAAAATGACATACGGATGAAGATGGTGATTGCACAGGCCTTTGGGGAGGGTTTTCCAGCCCGAGCTTGGCCCAATTCTGAGTTTCCTTCTCTAGTTCAGCCAAGACTTTTCTCTCAAAATCAAAATCGAATTGGAAACTGCTGCGGGGTATATCTCCAACTTGAAATGAAAAAGTAGGCTGAAAAAGAGCAATCAAGGCCAAACCCAATTTTATCAGATAATATCTTTTGGAAACACAAAGTTCGATCTTCAAGAAAACGTTCACTGATTGAAATTTCCCAATTCTACATAATTGCATTCAGAATGCAGCTCAGAAATTTACCCAATAAGCAATAACCATGAACATGAGGCAGAAATGCATTGATATAACTTTCTAAAAAGAAAGATTGAATCTTCTACAGTTTACATGACAAACAACAATTAAAGCGCCAAGCTTACCGGAGGAGTGATCCGATACTCTGGTTTTATAGTAACTCGAATGCCCAATCCGGCTGAAATTTTTAGCAACAGAAAGGCAACGATAAGATGCCACAATTAAAAAAAACCCTAAGCAAACATTTCGATCAGTTTGGGGAAAATTGGATCATGGGTTGGCTTACAACTTACAAGAAGAAGAAGAGGAAGGAGTTGTGGTTTGGTGGTGGGGAAGGGGACGGCCTGAGTGAGCGTACAGAGGAGGAGCCGCCGTTTGCCCCGGTTGACCCACCCGAGGGTACATAGACGACGACGACGATGGAGGCCCGTACATCGGATGACTAGACGGCGCTGATGACGTGGCAGGACGGTAGACATGAGAGTCGTATGGCGAACCCGACCTGGTCCTGTAATCGTAGTCCATTATCGCCAAGATATCACAGATTCAATTCGCAGAGGAGAGAGAAAGTGAAGTTCTTGTTTGAGAAGAAAGAGAAGAAAGCTCTGCTTGCGCGTTTTATTACGCGGGGCCTACCAACGACATTTCCATTCGGATTTTAGTTGAAGCATTCAATGTTTCCAACGACACGTCGTTTCAAAAATCACTACAAGTAAAAACATGAAAAATAACATAATTTCATACCTACATGCTACGGATACACTACTGGCAATATCGATACAAAATTCGTCTTTTAACTTATTGCAATATTTATCTTCATGATGAAAGAAAAAGAAAAAGTAATATTATTTCTTAGAGACTATACTACAAGTCTACAACTATTCAATCTAGAAAGTTACAAAAGTGCATGTCAAGGATTAGATACTAGGCAATCACAGCATCAAGAAAGGACACTGATCACTATAAAGACACAGGATTTGGTGTTCGAGGATTTTCATAGTCATAAACCAAAGATGTGGTCATTTGAACCAAATATGGCAGCGTTAAACTGTCTTGTATTCAAGTCACTCCCATCCAGAGCAGAACCAAAACGGTCAAGCCATTGCGTTGGGCTAGGATTATCACTCTCCTCTACCCACTCCGAAGTCATGTCAATATCATCGAATTGAATAGGATCGGCTTCTAAAGTCTTGGTTCTTGTCTGTCTTGCTAACTTGAGATTGTAATTTATGTAGACAAGGTCGTTCAGTGTTTCTCTATCAATCTTGTTGCGCTTCTCCGAGTGAATTTGCTGGAATGCACTCCAATGCCTCTCGAACGTGAAACTGCTGCAAACTTGGCTGAGTATTCTGATGGCAACTCGTTGCAAAACAGGTGCAGAATCGCCATATTGTTCCCACCAAAGCCCTACATTGAGTTACAAGTTTTCAGATCCAAGAAATAAATAGGGCAAACAAACATAAGGAAACACCATTCTCTCGTATGCAAAGCATGAATGAACACTAGTTGGACAACTTTAGGCAGTCGAAAATCCAACTTCTGGTTGCAGTGGAGGTAGATTTAGAGGATGCAACATGATTCTCATATGTATGATGTGTCTATACAAGGACTGCCAGATGCAGATTACTGATGTGTGATGCAATATGATTCTCGTATGTGTCTATACATGTGCACATACCGAAATGCTTATAATTTTGAACTGTATACTTACCAGGTGAAACTACATCTCTTGCTTCCATTGCTAGGCTACAACCAAACATCCCAGTTGCCTTTGTAAATGTGAATATTTGACTAGTAATGTCACGTCTCATTTCAGGCATGGGGAGTAGCTTCTCCAGAACTTTAAAAAAGTCCTCCTTTATAGATGTAAGAAATTTTATTTCTGGATTATATTGGATGCCAGGGTTCAAAAATGCTGCGGCTGCGTGTAGAGGTGAATGGAGTTGATCCCGCCACTTTCTATCTACTATATCTAAGAATGTCTTGCACTTGTTCTCATCCATTATATAGTATGTCCTTATTGATTCCTTGGCCCTGGTCATTAGCTCATATATAAAACCCACAGAAGGTTTCCCTCCAGATACTTCCCTCAACACTTTGAGAAATGGCTCAGAGATGGCCACACTTTCTTCCACTGCCCTCCAGAAATCATTATCCTCCACAATGGAAATACATGAAATGCTCTGTGTTTTATTTGCATAAGAGGAGTTAGTGCAGTACTCGGGGCTGTTGAACATGTGTTTCAACCTTGACCTTTGCTTCAACATAGATTGCAAGGAAAGGAAGTTGGAAACAGACTTCGTGATGCCAGTTCTAATGAGTTCCTGCCCCCCAGTGAACTTTTTCATCAGATCAAGCATCGAGGCATTGTTGTATATGAACTTTGAAATGGTTTGTGCTTGTAAGATACATCTGTTCACCCAATCCACCTTTGAGAATTCCTCTAAAATAAGATTTAAACACTGAGATGCACAAGGAGACACAAAAATGGTTGCATAATTCTGCAAAATATGGTTCGCAACCCCAGTATAGTTGAAACTACTATCCATGATGATCTGCACAACATTTTCTTGGCCAAAATCTTGTATGACAGAATCAAATAAATCAGCAAGGCATTTTGTGTTCTTGAAATATGCAGATGCATCCACGGACTTATGAAAAAAGGTCCGTGAGGGTGATGAAACCAAAAAGTTAATCAAAGCTCTCGACTTGTTGTCAGTCCATGTATCGGCAATGATAGTACAACCTGTGGTAGTCCACTCTTTTTCAATATCTTTCGACTGTAGGCTCATTTCAGACTTGATCCTTTCCAGCCATGTAGTCTTCAGAGTTTCTGCAGATGGACCTATAAATCCAGGACCACACTTTGCTATGGCATCAATCATTAGCTGATAGGATGAAGAACGAGCTATACTGAAGTCAAGCTTGTTCTCAAAAAAGAACAGAGCAATATTTCTCTCTGCATTCTCCTGGTTATTCAAGGGGGGAGGGACCATTGGAGTGACATTAGGAAAAACTTTCTGGATTGGAGTCGGTGTATCGAAAGACATGAGAGCTTTACTAGCAGAGACATTTCCAGGAGATTTGACTTCTACTAACTTTTGCTTTTTACCACTAGAAGTTTCTTTGACCTCCTCCTTTGATGCTATTATGGTCCTCACTCTATCAGTAACATCATCTCTCACTTTGCTACATGGATTTACACCCTTACTTGGAAGTCGAGATAGATGATGCTTCAATCTACTAATGCCACCATTCAGAACTCTCTGACAAAATTTGCATCTCACCTTGTTTCCATCTAATTTCTCAGCATATTCCCAACAAACATCTTTTTCTCGAACCACTGCTACAAGGTAAGCACAAAACCAATTCATTTATACGGCAGTAGTTTCTACATGATCTTATATCAAAACAAACTTATCATGTAAGGTTGATTCACTTTGAAAAGTAATATCAACATTTGAATCCATCTAAAAATGTGTAAATTGCAGCAGAAGCCATTCTGAGAGAAATAACTGAATGCAATAATGCAAGGACACAGTAAATTTAACAAATGAAAAAATGCAAGTGTGTTAGCATTGTACTCAATCATGGGCTTGTTGATGATATAAATAGAATCCATGAAAAGAAAAGAAAAGTGAAATCATAATGCTGAACTTACTTCTTCTCTTCTCTTCGGCGCTGTATGTCAACCTACAGAGGGAGCAAAGTAAAACTCAGCAGTGAGTAGCTGATTTTCTCGTCTCTGCGCCTGTTCAATTACATAAATTTCAAAAAGGTCAAAAAAGAAGAAAACTTTGTGGATGCAATTTAACATATAACAAGAATTACAAGTTTGGGTTCAACTGTTCTTCCTTCCAACACAGAAATTTGTAACCTTTAATCCCTTCAAACCAAAAACCCCTGATATTAACTCCCACAAAGTCTGCAGACTTATCCAAATCCTCATTATTTCATTCATTTAGATTTCATGTGGTTCTCATTTCTCTTTCCAGCTTACAGCCCTCGCATTTTACATTTTTTACCAAATTGGTTAGAATTAATCTTATGATTAGTATCATCAGCCACTATATAAATGTGCATGCTTCCAAATTGGCTTTCGAAATTCAACATCTAATGCATAAATTGGAACCCAATAAGCTCAAAAGAAAATGAAACTATTTTCCGGCGAAAGTTTTTCAGGAAGAAGATGCCTCCGGCGAACGGATAGCACTGTAAAATAGCAGAGCTTCTGTGTTCCCCCCATATATCAGTGACCAGACAAAGGATCTAAGATTCCGAATTCCAAATCTAAAATTCAATTCCTCAAAGACAAATAGAAAAGAAAAACAAATATTTGAAAATTGTTGAAATGCAGGAAGCAATTGAAAAGAGAAATAGCGAGACATTTAAGGAACTTACAGAGAGAAAGAGATTGGTCCTTCTCGACGGAGAGAAAAACGGAGGCGGCAGATTTTTTAGGGTTTTCCATTTATCGCGATATTTTGGAGGCGTATGGTTCTTTTTTGGCATCACTCGGAGTGTGTATCCGGTCTTTCTTCTTTATCCTCTCTTTTCTCGTTCTTTTTGTTTTTCCGACTTTTCATTTTCATTTTTATTTGTTACCTTTTTGGGTTTCTTTGGCGATATATCGCGGTCAGCTTATGCTCCGAGTTCAGCACCCAAAGAGAAAAGAAAGATAAAATAAAATCATGCTTCCAGCCAATCACATCATTACACGATCCGATCTTTAAGTTATTGCGAATAGTTTTTTTTTATAGTGCTGCTATTTCCACCCTCCAGTTCTATTTTCCCACCCATTTAATCTTCTCCCCCCCGCCATGTAAATTTGAAAAAAGATAATCCTATTTTTACACCCACCATTATTCCTAAAATACCCTTTAATTATTAATTCAAGCAAATTTTCCTTACTTTCATTGAAAGCATGCTTCAAACCTTCAATCCCTGTCAATCAAAATACGTGGGATCCTCTATAAAGTATTATTAAAAATTAAAAATTAAAAAAAAAAAATCACTTTCAATGTTCATCGTCTCTCCACCGAACGAAAACAATAATAGAGATAAATGCCATAATTAAAAAAAAGACGAAGAGCAAAAAAGAAAAAGAAGACGAAGAGCAAACTGAGCAAATGGAACTGAAAGCCTGTGCCCTTGGGTTCAGAAACTGAGAAGAAATCTGATGGAATTGGATTGGACCCAGCTGGAAATTTTGAAGCTTTATTGGAATTTTGATTTGGGTTTGGTCGGGATGAGGGAGAGAGGGAGGGAGGGGTTGGGGTTTGACAAGGATGAAGGAGAATAGGTATTTTTTTTTTTTAATCTAAAGTCCTTAGAAGTCATTTTACAAATTTATAAATTTGTTTTTAAATTTTGAAAATAAGGTGGATGGGGAAATAGGACAGGTGGGTGGAAATAGCAGCACTTTTTTTTTTCTTCCTAAAATGCCTGATTGAGTGTAAATAACATCCAATATGAATTGACATATGCTTTGTATTTTGCGGTTGATTAAATTATGACGTGGCTCAAAGATGTATGCCTTGTGTATTCCCATATTTTATATAGCTTATAGTTCTAACTGTAAATATTATTTTATCGTTACATATAATAAGCAAAACCTATTTCTTTGAGTTAGGCAGGATTTTGAAAAGCAAAACCTATAATAATAGATAGCAGCCAACAGGTGAGCCCATTGATTGTAACATTTGGATGCCAAATTATTGACCAGTTCGCAGCTCTAAGTAAAAAGAAATGAATGGCTCCGATTGGTCTCACTACACTCGTGCACTCTGCATCTGAAGTCCCACATTGGTCGTTCCTTTCCCCCCAACAACCTACGTGGCAGCATCTTGCGAAGGGCCACCTTTGATTGGTACTTCGGTCGGCCTAAGAGCAATTTTCGCGCCACTTTCGGTGGTTATGAAGTATCCAATGGAGGTTAGGTGACCGGCGCAAAGGTTAGAACCATTGATTAGGGGCCTTAACAATTTATTAGGAAGTAAAAAAGATAATTACTCTAACTTGAAAATCGCGCCGATAATACCAACTTGAGATTATGTGAATTTATGAAAATTACAACACAAAAGGAAGTGCGTAAATTCATTGGAAGATTTTGAAAAGGAACTCGAGTAGTTGTTGAAAACAGCTCAGTCATTCGAGACTCTTTTGAGTATCACTGAAGCTTTCCCGAGCTTTTTCGAGCTTCGAGTAATTCCTTTCAAATTTCTTTAAGAGAAAAACTTACGCAAGCTTTGCTTTGTTCTTATTTGGCAAATCTCTCACCAGAGCAATCATAAAAGTCAAATCATGATTTTGGGATTAGGTTTGAGCAGCATTTTGACTATCTAATATCATATTCGTTTTACTTGAGTTCTTGTCTATCTACACATCATTACCTCACAGAATAGTGACAGAAATATGGCCAAATTTTCAAATTAAAAAAAGGTGAAGAACAAATTTCCTTTTGGTACGTAATTAGAACAAAAAGATAAGATAGAAAACTACAAAAACCTAGGTTTGTTAGCTTCCTCTCGCTAGAAAAAAAGAAAAAGAAAACAAATTCTCGAGCTCAACAACTGCACCAGCGTTAGACCCAAAAAAATATATAATTGTTTAACTTTTTTGAGCTTCTTCTTGACTTTCCTAAACGCCTCATCTCTTGGTCTTCTCCAAATCCACATGCACCCTCCTGTTCATGCGCCATAAAATAAAGCAACAAGCTTTCGCCATTGGTTTTCTTCCCATCAATAATGATTATCTTATTTATGATGCGCCATAAAATAAAGCAACAAGCTTTCGCCATTGGTTTTCTTCCCATCAATAATGATTATCTTATTTATGGCTTCCTAACTTCTCCGCATGTGGCCATGCTGCTTAGGCAAGCAAGCACCAGCTCATCTCCATCATCACCACCATCATTGCAGGTTACCCATTTCCCCATTTACCTCTGTGACTCTCTGTCTCTGAAACCACAGCAGCAATCAATGTTGTGTGCCCAAATGAAATGACCCAATACTAAAACTTTTGTTGCAGGAAGCAGCAAGGGGAAGATATCAAGATAGGCTGATTGTTGGTTGATTTTTGGGATGCCTATGGTGTGATTTGAAGCCACAAGTAAGTTTTTTTTATTTGTCTTTGATTATAGCTGTGTATGGTTTCTCTGTATATGCTAGCTCGAACATTGTTGGGTTTATGTGAAAGTGATGGGAATTAAAAAAAGTACAATTTGTGAGAGATTTTCTTGGCAACCTAACAGAGTTGGTGAAACAAGGAAAGTGTACACTTTTCTTTCTCCTAATTCAAACTTAACAGCTGCTTTTATTGACTGGATCTTCCAATTTAAAGCCTTTAATGAAGTCAACCTTATTAGCAGTAGTTTCAGAAATTAGGCTGCTCTGCTTAATATGACCATAGCTCATACACAGTTTATAATATTTCTCACGATAAGTTTTTGAATTTCATTTATCCAAATTCATGTGTAGTTGGGATCAAGAAATCAGTCTGTGCTTTGCCTGCAGGAGAAGATGGACAAGAAAGTAGAGCTTTTGTTCGTTTTGTTGATTGGAACCATTTTCTTGCATGCCACTGCGGACCCAGTTGAAGATAAGCAAGCTTTGCTAGATTTCCTTCACAATATTTCTCACTCAAACTCTATCAAATGGAATGATAACTCTTCTGTGTGCAAAACCTGGACTGGAGTGATTTGTAGCAAAGACCAGTCCAGAATAGTAGAGCTCCATTTGCCTGGAGCTGCTTTACATGGTCCAATCCCACCCAACACTCTCAGCCGCCTATCTGCCCTTCAGGTTCTCAGTCTCAGGTTGAATAGTTTAACAGGTCCATTCCCTTCTGATATTTCTAAACTTGAAAACTTAACCTCCCTTTATCTTCAATTCAACAACTTCTCCGGCCCATTGCCTTTAGATTTTTCACCTTGGAAGAATCTTACTGTCATGAATCTCTCAAACAATGCATTTAATGGGAAAATCCCTTCCTCAATTTCAAGTTTGACTCACCTCACAGTTCTGAATCTTGCCAACAATTCGCTTTCGGGTGAAATTCCTGATCTCAATCTTCCTAGTTTGCAACAGCTTGATTTAACTAACAATAATCTCACAGGGAATGTGCCTCAGTCTCTCCAAAGATTTCCAGGTTGGGCCTTTTCAGGTAACGGTCTTTCATCACAATGGGCCCTTCCTCCAGCTCTTCCAGTTCAACCACCTAATGCTCAACCAAGAAAAAAAACAAACCTTGGTGAGCCTGCAATACTAGGTATTGTGATTGGTGGATGTGTTCTGGGGTTTGTTGTAATTGCTATTGTGATGATTATTTGCTGCACCAATAAAGAAGGTGAAAATGGGCCAGTTGAAAAACCACAGAAGAAGAAAGAAATCTTTTCAAATAAAGGAGTTTCTGAGAAACATGACAAGAATAATAGGCTTTCCTTCTTTGAGGGTTCTAATCTTGCATTTGATCTGGAGGACTTGCTGAGGGCATCTGCTGAGGTGCTTGGTAAAGGAACCTTTGGGACAACATACAAGGCTGCTTTGGAAGATGCAACTACTGTTGTGGTGAAGAGGTTGAAGGAAGTGAGTGTTGGAAAGAAGGAATTTGAGCAGCAAATGGAGATTGTAGGAAGTATCAGGCATGAGAATATAGCTGCTCTAAGGGCATATTACTATTCCAAGGATGAGAAGCTTGTTGTGTATGATTATTATGAGCAGGGGAGTGCCTCTTCATTGTTACACGGTATAACAAAAGCCTCCTCTTACATTTTTTGTTCTTTTTGACTCATTTGCATCAGATGATTGTTAGTTATGTTCAGTGTTTATAATGGTGTTTATGCATCTTTAATCTTGCAGCTAAAAGAGGAGAGGGCAGGACGCCACTAGACTGGGAGACTCGACTAAGAATAGCAATTGGTGCAGCCAGAGGCATTGCTCATATCCACACACAGAATGGTGGAAAACTTGTCCATGGAAACATAAAGGCCTCAAACATTTTCCTCAACTCTCAAGGATATGGTTGTGTGTGTGACATTGGTTTGGCAACACTGATGAGCCCAATGCCCCCGCCCGCAGCGCGTGCTGGAGGATACAGATCCCCAGAAGTGACAGACACTCGAAAGTCTTCCCATGCATCCGATGTCTACAGTTTCGGGGTCCTGATACTTGAGCTCCTCACTGGAAAAAGCCCCATACACACAACAGGTGGTGAAGAAGTTATCCACTTGGTAAGGTGGGTGAACTCTGTGGTCAGGGAGGAATGGACAGCAGAAGTATTTGATGTAGAGCTCTTGAGGTATCCAAACATAGAGGAGGAAATGGTAGAGATGTTGCAAATAGGAATGTCTTGCGTGGCTAGAATGCCGGAGCAAAGACCAAGCATGCCGGATGTGGTTAAAAGGGTGGAGGAAATTCGTCAAGTCAACACTGGAAATCCGCCATCGTCATCAGGAATATCTACTCCAGTCTTAACACCTCCACCTCCTACAGCCGAGATAGGATCCTCCTCTCAACCACAGTGAAATTCATTCTACATAGTCAAGTTGTTTATTATAATATAAATTTATTTTTATCTTTCAATTCAATTGAAATTAGTTGAACTACCTGTTGTAGTTGGTTCTTTGACTATTGTACAATTTGTCTGGGCTTGGTTGTGATGAACGTGATATTCAATTTAAGGGTCTTTGCTCATTAGTAAAACCAATCACTGTCACTGCTTGATAATGGAGGGAGGGCATATGCAGATTTATTGGTTGTGGTTCCATATCGTATAGCATATTGACGTTCTTAAACCTATCTAATTGATGGATACACTCATAACCTGCTTTTTTGTCATCTTCTTAAACCTATCTAATTAATCTTCCTTTTGGAATTCTTTCCTTGGCAAATCAAATTTTTCCGGTAGAATCACGCATCGCAAATTTTCCAACACGCAGAATCACTGATCAATGGGAAAAGAAATAAGAGACCTGCACAAAAGGCAATGTCTGCAATTGCAAACAATTATAGATCAATTTTGAAATCTACATACAATGGCATTGGCTTTTATCAATGATTTCATACATCCAGATTAAACTGGTGAGTCTGAAAAGTACACGTATCTTTTGTGGTATAAGAATCACACTGAAATGAGAACGGAAGACAACATTTTCCCTATGGGGTCGGGCATGATGCTGAACAGAAACTTAGCATGCAATAGATAAAGAATCATTCATCTTTACAATGAACACAGCTGATCCCCTGCAATCACTTCTTCAAAATTCTTGTTTTAACACCCCCTGAAATTCATATAAACAGAAAGGATTCAGGGTCCCATAATCCAGTGAAATCATTTACCGGAGCTAACAGCAAATAGTTGGGCAAATAATTTGGAAGTGGTAAAATCCTAGAACAAAAAGGTACCAGACCTTCAACTTCCTCAAATTGAACCTCCTTCACAAATTCGGCAGTTGCATTATACTCAAAACTGCAAAAAGGATAGATCACACACATTCAGTTAGAACATACAGAAGAACAATTTCAATGTAACTCAAAGAGTAAAATATTGCAATAGAAAGAGATTTCGCATATACGGCTACAATGCTAATGTCGTCCGCAACATTAAAACAGAAGTAATGCTGGGTATTGTCGTCCACTTGAAAGTAAAGAACTGCAAAGGAAAAGTTAACCCTCCTAAGAAGGATGCTTTCAACCATTAAGGTATTATCTTATATCATGAAGATTCTAAGAACGAGCATCCATCCAAACAAGCAACAACTTTCACTTTCTTTTTCCAGAATAAAGCTAACTTACATAGAAACCACATATGCAATATCCTACATAACCCCTTCTCAAAAAGTAAAGCTCATATTCCCATCTCACAGCATCTAACAAGTGGTAGCAATGGGGTTATATGCTGCACTCAGAAATGAATCTATTGACTCTCTCCCAATGGTCGTAGGTGTGACAGATATCAAGAAGAATAGTCCAATAGAAAATAAAAAACAAAAATTTTGTCTGCATAAACTTTTCCAAGATACCCAATGTGGCTACCTATTGATGCATGCATATCCAGATATGCATTTATAAGCTACAAATGAACATTGCTGATAATAACCAATGCATATGCAATCAATCTGAGATTCCTAATTAGACGTCTAACAGGAAAGTGGGGAGGTGGATTTGGTATACTAAAGAGTAAACAAGAGAAGCCATGAAAACACATAATAAGAAGCACAATTTTGCATTACCAGTTAGAGAAACAAACTTCAAGTTCATAATTAGAAGCACTCTTAGTAGCTTCAACTAAGACAGTAACGATTTCAGTCTTGCGAGTACTAGCCATGAATACATCATACTCAGTCGGAATGATAATTGCGAAAAAGTTATCACTTAGTTCACTCAAGCACATCCTCTCTACAGCTGCAAGGGCTATCCTCCGTTTCAGTGCATCGGCCTCTGGGTCAACAATGTAGATGGCAAAGTCAGTGATCATCAAAATGCGCCGCTTCATCTTCCCAGAAGCAGTAAACTTCAAAACTTTATCGGCAAACAGAACCTCCTTGTCACCTGAAAAATTCAATGCAGTGGAATTCAATCAAGTAACTCCATTAGGCACAAGAAAATGCTTAAATTCTCTTTGCATTCCATTGATTGGTTAACTGGTTCTCAAATAAGAATGATAAGCAAAATTACCAATGCTACACTATCTTTACACAACCAAACATCCTTTTATTTGTAAAGGTATCTTCTGAACCTAAACTTCCAATTCAATACCAAAAAAGAAGGCAAAATGAAAAATTGATGTTTGATTTACCAACAGATAGCAAAATTGAAAACATTATGAAAGGCGAGACCTTGTTTCTGCAAGATTTTCATCAAGTACGGATTGGAACGGACGTCGATGTAGTCCCCTTTGTATTCTCTGCGAAACGAAGCTTTTCTTCGGACCTTGACCCCCATGAAGGGCTCCTGATCTTCAGTAACGTTGCTATTTCTCACTCCGCCATTATCTTCTCCGTCGTCGTTTTGGTGGCCTAGGGCTTCCGAGGGGTTCCCTTCTTCATCTTCCGCCACGTCGTATTTGGGAATCTCTGTTGGGGATTCGTCCACCTGGACCCGCTTCGGAACCTTCAACCGCTGCATTTTCAGGCGTCGTTACGGCGACTCAGAGACGGTGAGCGACGCGGAGTGAGGTGGCGTGCGGGTGGTGGAGGCTAACTTGCTCCGGGTGTGCGCTGCGCACCATGTGCAGCAGGTGGGTTGTAATCGGTGAGTTGGATTCTCGAATCTCCTATTAATCATCCAATCTACGCAACGGCGCACGTTAGAAACGTCGATCATTGGGTCCCAAGGGAAGCGTGTGCTCTTCTGCGATCAGTTTAGGGGCTGTAGGTGATCTGAGACGTCGGCACTGCGGGACCCAGATCCATATCGACCGTCCATCAGATAACAGCAAGTGGGCTAGGATTTCCCCTCGTAATCACCGTCTACTTTCTAGCTGGTGGATCGCAGTATATAATGTGTAGGACAACTGTCATCAAACAGAATAAAATCCTGACTTAAATTTAAGAAAATTAAATAGATTCATTATTTGAATTATTATATGATTTACTTCTTCTTCTTTTTTTATTTAATGAGCCATCTATATAATTTACTTGAGATGAAATTTATATAATAATAAAAAATTAATACAGGACGATGGAATTTAATCACACATTGGAAATTGGGCCCACTCAATGTCGGTCTCCGACCGTGTGGTTGACCGCCGGCGTTTTAACTTTTAACCAACGGCAGCAGCCAACAGAAAGACCAAGTCGTTGAACGCGCCTCAGGGGGAGCGGGAAACGACGTCGCTTTGGTGTCCCAAATGAAATCACCTTGACGCAAAAGCTATATTCGATTCCGCGGTGACTTTCGGCGCCAAAAAACAAAAACCAACCGGAAAAAAAAAAAAAAAAAAAGGGAAAAGAAAAGAAGAAAGAGAGATTTTCGTAAAGGGAACGCCAAGTGGGACCCAGACAGAGGGAATAGAATTTAAGCCAATCAGCAGCAACAGGTCGATTACAGAGCGGTTTTTATAAAAGTCGTTCCATTTCATCAAAACACATTCACAATCCGCCCTCCTAAATTTCCATTTTCCATCTCTTTCTTCATCTTCTTCTTCGATTCATTGTTCACGTAGGAAGGAGGACGATCTCTGTCTTCGTTTCTCTCTGTAACTCTTCCTATCAGGTACGATCTCTTCGCTGAAATTTAAGTTATTTTAGGTGCTGGTTGTTGTGCATGGTTTTGGTTTTTGATCTGAGATGGTGATTTTGGATATTGGAAATAGGGTTTCGCAAATGGCCTCCAAACGGATCTTGAAGGAACTCAAGGATTTGCAGAAGGATCCTCCTACATCATGCAGCGCCGGTAATCACATCTTCCTGCTTATGAATTCATTTCCCGTTCTGAATTCTGGGTTGTTTGCCTCATAAATTTTGAATCTATGTGTCGATGTTGGCATGAAATTTCAGCTTTAATTTTCCACTTTCCATTCCAAATGATTCCGTTTAGTGTGATCAATTGGTGCTCTATGCATGGTTGGTGATTTGCAGTGAATTATCTGGGATAGTTGAATATTGTAATTTTGGTATGTTGCAAATTTCGTAAGGAAAAATTCCTGCAAACTCTGGGTCAATTTTTTGTAGTTGATGCTAAGAAGCATATAGGGGAAACTGAAATATGACTTCCAACAATAACATTGGTAATTTTACTTATTTAATCAGTTTGTGCATAGTTACTTCACATAGGAAAGCGAAACTGCGATCAGAATTAGTATAAGCCCACATGTCACTCATAATTCATGTTGATCCTGTACACTTATGTGTCGCCTGTGCTGAGATCAGAATTGTGGGTGTATTTCTGGGTAATTTGGGTTTGTTCCTACCATATGTACCAGATAATTAATGAAGAATGATTATACACTAGGTGCTTTTCATCATATAATTGCCTTCCTGTATGGATTTGTTTTTGTGGGGTGCTATGAAATTTGGAAGGTTTTTCCTTTGGGTGTGACCATAGTTTATAAGCATGTGTTCATATCTTGGCATGAAAAATTGTGCAAACCATCATATCTACAAAGTAGGTAGTACAGGGAACATAATTGATTCCGTAACAAATTTGCATGATTAGTGCTTTGGCCTGCATATAGGATACACGACTCGATGTGCTCTTAACCGTTGTAACTTGCATTTGACTAATGTTCTTGCAATTGCTCTTGTACCATTCGTGAAACATGGTTTTGGCATTCCCATCTGGACAATCAAGTCAAAAAGCATGTTTAGCTAGCTAAAATTGATTTCTAGTATTTTCACCCTTTCCAAATTGTAATGGATTCTATTGGTCCAGCTTGGCTACCTGGTCAGATGTTCAGATTGTGACGTTGTCTGCAGCTGGATTATCCAGTCTGGTCAGAGGCTTTACATACTACCAACTGGTTTAAATTTTGAACTTTGCTCTACATGACCATAAGCATTCAAAAGATTTATTACTCTTCTTGTACTGCATATAGGAAGTGACTAAAATATATAATGTCATTTTTCTATGCTTTGTTGTTTGTTTTATGATTATGCAGATTGCCCTCAGAAGATACACATTTTTACTCATATATAGTGCTGTATCGAGGACAGATGATGTTCATTCAAGAGCTTTCTTGTGTTATTTGAAATGAGACTTTTTTAAAGCATTCTGTATAAATCTTGCTCCATTTTCCATAAATATTTGTATAATTTCATTAATTTCTGGCCTTGTTTTCTTTGGGGACGTTGCAGGTCCCGTTGCCGAAGACATGTTCCACTGGCAGGCAACAATAATGGGTCCCCCAGACAGTCCTTATGCTGGGGGTGTTTTCCTAGTTACTATTCATTTTCCTCCAGATTATCCCTTTAAGCCACCGAAGGTACTAACTATCCAATTTTAAGAATGAAGTTTGTTTCTTTATCTCTGAACGTCAGTGGTCCACACAATTCGTTTTCTCTCCTTTCTTAATTCCCGGAAACAGTGAATACTTTTACCGATGATGTGATGAAGTTTGACTGGGGTTTGAACTTGAATTGATCTCCTTATGGTAAGAGACCAAGTTTGTCAGACTCATCTTCTTCTTTCTTCCATACTCGGCAGACCTACTACCTTGAATACCCATATTTTGAACTTTTTTTAGTAATTAAGTAAGTATTCTTCTTCTACCACTACCACCTCCTCAACCACCACCACTACTTTTACTTGGGACAACCATTATCATTGCCCTTCACATTTTCAGTTATTGCACTGCAAGAAACTAATGCAGTACTCCTACTTTCCAGATGAGGGAGAATATTTGGGGTTGTATCTTTCCATAAAGTACAATAAGAAGGCTGTTGTGGACGTTTTTCCTGCATATAGCAGAAATACCATTGCATTCTCTGTGTCATCATTCAATACTTTGTGTCGTTTTTCTAATAATGGAATTCTCGTTCTCTCGTTTTCTCCCTTGCTGACAAGTTGATGGTTTTTGTAGGTGGCATTTAGAACGAAAGTATTCCACCCGAACATAAACAGCAATGGGAGCATTTGCCTTGACATCTTGAAGGAGCAGTGGAGTCCTGCTCTAACTATTTCCAAGGTTTGCTCTAATAGCCCTGAAAGCTCCAATATATAAAATTTGAGAAGTCTATATTTTAGAAGTTAGAGGAGTGACAATTGTGATGTTATCATTCTGGAAAAGTGGCTGTGACTTATCACTGCACACAGAGCCTGTTGATTTTAAACTGCTTTAAGAGTCATTCCTTGCAAATACATTTCCTCACAAATGTAGTCAGCTTTGATATTAATTTCTTTTAGGGTGTTCATTAGAAACAATTGTCACTCGAACTGGTCTGTTTATATTGTAAGTTATCATAATGTTCGTTTTCTTTATCAGGTTTTGCTTTCCATCTGTTCTCTGTTGACGGATCCGAATCCTGATGATCCATTGGTGCCGGAGATTGCCCACATGTACAAGACAGACAGGAATAAATATGAGACGACAGCAAGGAGCTGGACCCAGAAATATGCCATGGGCTAAAATGAGGTGTGGTATGTGCGATAGGAAGGCCCTTATATCTTCTTTCCCGTGGTTTTAGTTGTGTATGAGGGATGTCTCTTGAATCCTAAAATGGACTAAAGAAGAGTTCCATAACAATGTCCCCAGTATTAAAAAAAGAAAAGTCAACACATGTTGCTTTCCTATTGTTTGTATGGATAATCATAATGGTGATCTTTAGAACAATGAATAGCCTCCCCACTATTGTTTCCTTCTTGTTGTTTGTTGGAAATTTGAGCTGACGAAACTTTACCATCAGGATCAAGAACTTTCGCATTGAAATGACTACAATTCTGGTCATCCTTGAATCTAAATTGGCCATATTTGTCGGGAAAGATTTGCAGTATCTCTGTACATTTAGAAAAGTCCTTGCTCTCTTTTGTGAACGATGAATGAAGTAAAAATTGAGCGAGGCCAGACAACCGAAGGGTGGTCTTCGATTCTATAATAACTTGTTTTGGCAAATTTATAAGTACATCAAAATTCTCGCTTAATAGAAAACTGATGGCATCACAAAATAATGTAATAACGAAGACAATGTGTATATCCAGGCTTCAGAAACAAGTCTTACTTTTCTTATCCACTTGCAGTGATTGATCAATTACTTCATCCCCTCAACTGTTTGCCTAGTAGTTTCTACTTTCTTTCTTCAAATGACCCCACGGTCATGCAATCTGGGAGCTTCTCCAGCTTTACTGAGTGGGTGTGTTGATGGATTCAATTTGGCTGTTATGAATGTTCTCATTCTATAGTGATGGTGCCATATATATACCTCTCATGTGAACCTTCATATTAGCCACATAATCATTTCATTAAACTTAAGTGAAGTTACTATTCATATGAATTATGTGACAGTTTCTCCTCATGCGATTCTGATCAGGTTCGACTCTTATATTTACTAATGGCCCGTATAAAATTAAGAGCCCTTTAGGCTCGAGCAAAGCCCAAACTAAAATGTAAAATCTCAGGTTTGGGTAAGGCTGGACCAACCTCTTTGAGTTGAGACCTTGAGGCCTTTGTATGAGTTATTTCAGTTTGCAAAAGTAATAAAACATTCTAAAACAGTTAATTCTAATTTCGAAAAGTATATACAAAAAACAACGGAGGAAAATCCCCACGTTCTCCCCAATCAAAGATTAAAGTAGCCATTGTCGGTGGGTAAAAGTCAAACTTATCGGCATAGCATTAATAACACATCTAGAAATTTGCCCAATCAACTCTTCAACGGTCACAAGATAACAGCCTCGAAAAAAACCTTGGATCAATCTTGATTGATTCTCTATCAATGTGGCCGGGAGCTATTATAAGATTATTTATTATTGGTAAAAATTTATAAATAAATAAATAAAGTTTTGTATTGAATCTGGTTTTTTTTTTAACCATACTTTTGGATGAGGGAAAATAACTTGGAATTTAGCTAAAAGTCGGAAATTTAAGAGGAGAAATTGACAATTTCATTGTTTGGCAACGTAAGTGTGGAGTTTATTAAATGACGCACGGAAAAAACTGTGGAAATTGGAAGATCAAATTCCCGAGTTTAATTTCCACCAAAATATGCATCATTTACAAAATTTTGTCATTTACAAAATTCGACATACATAAATCCAAACACTAAGAGCATCCGCAATGATGCTCTCTATTTCTTAGCTAAAATTTAGCTAAAAATATAAGAAAACTATTTTAGGAGCTCTCTAAAAAATTTCAAATACAACCATACTCCCTAATTTGGTGAGTCATAAATACTATAACTCTTTTTTGATTGTTCCATCTCTATTAAAAAATAAAATAAAGAATAGTTAGCATTAAATGAAGGTTTGAAATACTCATTAAATAAGGCAGCATTAAATTATAGGGAGCCACTAGGAGTCCTTTTTCTCTCCTCATATTTAGGAACTCCTAGAGGACTCCCTATTTTAGGAGGTGGATAGAGCGCATGGTTGGAGTTGCATTTTTACAATGCCTCCCTAAAATTTGTTTAAGGAGGTGATTTAGGTAGTCCATTGTAGATGCTCTAAAATCTTCAATTGATAGAAATTGAAATTATGGAAATCTAAATTCCTTCATTTTAGAATTCTATGTAATTTTCAATTATTTTATCCAAACGGAGGATAATAGTACAATTGATAGGGTATGAGATTTCTCACATACATATAACTATAATGTTGTAGGAATTCAAACATGAGACCTATTGTTTGCAAGTCAATACTTTTTATAAACTGAGCTGCACGATTTTAGTGATACCTCAATCGTTTACTCTGTCGTGGGATCTTAATTTTGGTAAGAGTAAAAAAGATTTGATTGTTATCAACTCATAATTAAAAATAGCTTATGGAAATTAGACCACACCACCCAAAAGATATGAAGAAGGCCAGAAAGTCACAAATGAAGAACAACAATGCCTAGGAATGCCAAAAGCAATTTAATACGTTCAACTTCCCCATAAAAACAAAAATATATATATATATATATATATATATATGGCCATTGAACTTTAGGTGTCATGAAATAAAATAAGCCTTTGAACATAAAAATCAAAAGGACATGGTGACCCATGTTGCATATCATATCACAATATATGTTTTAATATGAAAATACACGTGTCGAATCTTTATGCATGCAAAGGATCTGAGTTGAAAACCTAACTTGAACTGAGGATTAAAATAAAATCCGGCAAAAGGGTCGTGCCCACGAGTGGGGGTGAGCATGGTCCCTGAAAATCTGGTTCATTATTTTTAGATAGATTTAAACCCCTTAATTACCTAATCTTAATTCATTTCATGTACTTGGACTCGAAGACTTGAAGACAGACAAGGCTTGAATGCAGGCTGCTTAATGCTGATGAGAAAGACCATGACATTGACTTCCACTAAAGACTTTTTGGTGGATATTAGGTGCGTGACGTATTGAAGCTGCTGTTTGCAAAGGAGAACATGTCCATCAATAATCCAAATTCCAAATCACTCTTTAATAATGATGGTTCAGATCATTATTAACCACTAATCATTGTCTAATTGCGTACTAATATTCACTGGAAAGAGCATCGTACAAGACGAAAGCCTCTCATGCACTCCACTCCACCGAGTTTCCACATAGCTTTGTTAAATTATTTTTGTTAATTTGTTGGCTCAAAAACTAAACTGTGGTGTATATAGATATATACAGTCTCTTTTTTATTTTTGAAGTCTACATTCATAGATTATTTTTGTAAAAAATTAGACAAAAAACCGTTTCAACATCCAATATATATATATATGCACATGTAATTACAAGTACTCATGAACTGACGCGGACAATAACATAAACAACGTCGGTTTCTGTCTTCTTGTGTTTTGATTTACCTGCGAAAATTACCAGTCTTGCTTATTTTTGTAGATTTGATGAGTTTTCGACAACCCAAAACAAAGAAACTATATATATAACCAGTCTTGCTCTTGGTCATATGTTGTAGTTAGTGACATTGAGTTTTCTCTCTACCAAATCCCTTCGCACACTCATACATACTCCTAATTTTTGGGCTTTTGGAAATTGAAAACCCTTTATTCTAATTTCTAACGAAACCCATTTACTAACTAGCTTAGCCCAAATTAAAGATATCAATTGTAAATATTTTTTATATAAAAATAGAAAGAAAATATCTACCAAATCCCCTGCTTTAATGCATTCATCTAACAAACAAGCTCCTCATTTCCCTCAATGTCAGAGAAGAATTATAAACCCATTGGCCAAAAGTGCAATTCTACAAATTAACTTCATCGGTCATTCACCCATAAAACATTTTTAAAAATCTCCTCTTCTTCTACATATATGTATATTATTAAGTTGCACGTAAATAATATTTAAGTTGCAAAATCCAAGTGAGGCCACATCACCCCACATGGGGAAGCACACGTGACAGTTCCATGGTCACCGTCAAAGCGCAAACGCGGCCGGTCACCGGTTCGTGAACCGTATATCAGTGTCAGTTGACGGGCCCACTGCCTGAGCCGGTCACTCACTGTCGTCGAGTCTCGAGACAAAATCTCCATACATGGGCCACAGCCATTGTATCTCTGATGAAGAAGGTCTTCCCAAAACCTTTTCTACGCTGCAGCCTGCAGGGATATTGTACTAAATTAATATCACTAATATTATAATATCAAGTTCAAATATGCATAAACAATGTGATGAACGTACAACTTACAACTTACAATCATGAAACATATTTTCGCAGATTAGCTTAGGTTGCAGAAACAAATGGCAGTTCAGTCCAGTCCAGGTGTTCTTCTCCCAACCTCTTTGCACACGATGCCCGCACGTCTTTACACTGATCACCAGATTTTTATCATTTTCAAATGTTTCTTGTTCTTTTCAATATAAACTGTATAATTAAATGCAGGTTTGGCATTGCCAAGCAAAAGATAATTAACTTTATCTGACTGGGACTGCAAATCTTAATATAAGTTTGCAGGCACGCGAATAGGATGCTAGCCAGCTACCTCCTCTGCTGTTTGAACTTTGAACTTTGAACTACAAGTCGTAGGAAGGAAGAAGTGATCGTTCTTCATATGTTTCCCAAACACTGTCGTTCCAATTCCGAAGGTGAAAGTAATTATAACGGGATTGTTTTCTTTATTTCTTTATTGCTTTAAACTGTCTGCCTCAAGAAAATGAAGATTACATTACATGTGTGTGTGAGAGAGAAAGAGAGAGAGAGAGAGAGACCAACATCTCTTGCTTCAAAGAGAAGCTTGTGATAGTTTCTAAATGAAGATTAATATTAATTAAATACGATTAGTTTTATAGTATAAGGGATGGTAGAGAAGGGTTTAAATTATGGGTCACGGCCATGAAAGTCTGAGCAAAGTTGTTTGTTGCAGCAGAGAAACACACACGCACATTAATACCGACACAATAATAAAGCCATAGCTATCTGCTTCGAAGTCGTGTGGAGCTCTGGAGGTGGCCCTTCTTTTCACAATAGATCTTGTTCTGTTATTATTTTATTTACCTTTTTTTGGGATTAAATACCCAAACTTGATATGGGTGCGTGGTTTTCTTCCCCCTTAATTTATGTTTTCTCAACTTTTAGGGTCATCCCTGCGATAAATTTGGAACTTCAATTCATTCTTGGCACAATGAAATTGTTGTTTTTTCCCTTTTAATTTTGACTTTCTTTCTTTTTAACCAAACAAGCGGTAGTATTTTATTAGATCAATTGAAAAAGTACATAGGCAACCATCTCGATTAGCAATACAACATACATGAGTAAAGTTTCCCAAGTGACTAGAGTCACCTCTATAAATGAAACGATTCGGAGAGAATAAATCGCGAATAACTTGTCTAAAAACCCCTATTTACAGTCTAAGTTATCCTAGATCAAGTGAGTTACATCAAGAACAAAATCTGGCCGCTAACCACCATAACTCTCCTAAAGAAACTAGACCACCTAGCAAATTCAACAAATTTTTTAGGAGTTACAAGAGAAAACCGGCTCGTCATCCTCCTATACCCTCTCTTTTTTTTTTCTTTTTTTTTTTAAGACTCACCAATTGTTGTAATCTCTCCATCACAAAAAAACAAAAACAAAAACAAAAACATACACACACTTAACCACATTACTCCTAGTTCTTGCATTCACGTACAGAAATAAAAAAAGGAAAGGAAAAAAAAATAAAATTTAGACATGCAATTTTTTTTTGGGGGAGAAAGTACATTTAAAAAAGAATAAAGTTGAAGACATATAATCTTTGGGAGTATGATGAGCCGGTAACAACACTTAAATCAAGGGTGTCTAGGGCATGCATGACGCAGATTAACATAATATTGATGGATTAGAAAGACTAATGAGCAAAGAATCAAACAAGGATCTTGGAGTTGATGCTATAGCTATTGCTTACTGCTTATCTCATTGAGTCATTGACTTTATCCCCAAGTTCAAGTTGTATTCATTTGTAGGCTTTTACCAAACTAACCAACATATATATACTTCCAAATACATATATTTATATATAAACAAAACCAAAAAAAAAACAAATTATATATCTATATCAGTTGCAGAAAAGAAAACAAACAATAACGTTATTATTATAAAAGTATAAAGTATATACAAGTAGGAGGCAAGGTACCCGGTGATTTGTCGAATTTGATGTTCTTCTTTAGCTGTCTTGAGGATAATTAATGGTTCACTTGGCTCAATGGCACCAGGGCCAAACTCCAAGAACCAGCACAACTCTCTCATTTTGTCCACTTTGCCAATCCATATATATATTTAATCATATTTATAATTACTTTCATTTCCCAATTAAACATAATGCACGGGATCTTCAAATTATAATCTCTCTTTCTCTCTCTCCCCTACGCTTACACCTGTACAACTTAAGAAAACAGTCTATGAGTTAAATTATAATCTCTCTTTCTTATAATTTGAAACTGAGACTTAATAAATTGTTGTCAATTTGTATTCTTCTAAATTATAAGAACAAAACAGTCTATGAGTTAAAAGCTCTAATAGCATATATACATCCTCCAACAACAGATAGAATTCCTGCTACCTGCACTAGTTTCCCAAAATAGCAGTTGCGTTCTGTCCTTTCCCAACACTGAAAGCTTCATTCGGACTATAGTTGGAGGACCACGGTCAAACTTTATTCGAAGCTGCCGCTGCTTTTTAAAACAAATTCCAAGTTGCTGGTACAATATATATAAGTCGAGGGAGATTCACATGTAAAGTTTTAAATGTACTTATACAATATATATATTTACTTATTGGATGAAATAGTCGGTTAATTTAATTGTTATAATCCTAAAAATAAAGGTGAAGTAGAAAATGACTTTTCATGTAATCACAATAAACACCGAGTGAGGAAGGGCACATGAAGTTTCCAGACTCCAGAAAGTCGTAGAAATAAGCCATGATCATCATGTGAAAGAGTGTGAGAGTGAGAGAGAGAGAGCACACCACTTTGTTCATTACTTATATATATTTATATAGTCAGTCAGTCTTTGAGATATCAGATTTTACATGCAGGCGTGCTACGCGTGACAAGTCCTTAATGCTTTTGTTTGCCTACAAATGGTGCTCCGTTGGACCAATTTGCTCATAATGCTTCAACCCCACTTATTTTCAAACGCAAACTGATGCTATGTAAACCAAAACACCCCTATCCAAATCGGCAATTTCTTTTCTTTTTTCTTCTTCTTCGAATTCATATTCAGCTATAATCTCTTATAAGGAACCTGTGACTCTCTGTGATTGTGAGGGACTAACAAACCAATCATTGGGTGCCACATAATGATGACATTTGCATCGCTGGAGCTAGGAGAGCCCAGGTCACCAGTAACATGAGTTTTTATTAGTCTTTTAGTCTTCCGGATTCAAATTGTAAACGAAAACAAACCAAGTCGGCCTTTTTGTTTGATTCACCGTTTGGAGCCAATGTCTGATTTTCATTTGATTATTAATTAACCTTCAAGTCATGTAAGCATAATATACCAAGACTCACATTTTTGTTACTAATATTTACTTCTTTTAAGTATGATCCTCACTCGCATTTATTTAAACAGATATCACTCTAACTACGAAGAATATGATATATGTAACGTAACACTTTCTTCTTTTTGAAATTTTTGACGGTAAGTGGTGCTTTGTAACTCTAGTAGTACAACGCGCTTCTTAACGAATTTTAAGGTTCGACTCATTCAGACTCCCTTTGTAAACAAAGAAAGAAAAATGCACGGTCAAGTTCTTGATACAAGGCCATCCCTGTCATTGTTACTGCAGGCAAGAAAATATCGTGGAATCTGTTTGTTAGCTTCTGGTCTATTTAAGTTGAGTTCCCTAGTCCTTGGAGCTTTTGCTACTTGCCTAGGAATTAACGGGAGGGGAACAATAATTACAACGACAGATTATGTACTGCCCATATCCTTAAACACACACACATATATATAGAAGAAGACAATAGTAGCCAGCCGACCAATTGCAAATGTTGTACGTACTATGATTAGATATGGACCAATGGACAATTAACTTTGTTAATTAGTTAATTAAATGTCAACAGGCTGGGGTCAACTGCTCTGATTTATGTTTTATATTTGGTGTTTCTCCACGAGTTTCAAAATCAAACCAATTTCGATATCCTTATAGTTAAGCATACATCCTGTTTTCAAATTTTCGTATATTATCTTGTAAATTCGAGAGAATATATCCTTAGATAAAATTTAGGGAGGAAGTGAGAAAACCTACCTCCAACCATGCTTCCTATCCAACACCTAAAATAGGGAGATTTCTAGGAACTCCTAAATATAAGGAGAGATAAAGTACTTCTAATGGAACTCCTATAATTAAATAAGTATTTATTTAATTCTAACCATTTATTATTATTATTTTATTTGAAGAGGGAGCATTTATGTTAAACTAAAAAAAGAAATAAATCATTTACGATTCTCGAAACTAGGGAACATGGTTGGAGTTGAAATTTTATGAGAAGCTTCTAAATTGTGTTATGGTAATTATTTAATTATCAATAATCATTTGCACAAAATATCAAATGACCGTTACGATGCCACGAATAAATTAGAAACAAGGAAATGAAACCAAATTAATAGCTGGCAGAGAAATTACACGTAGAATTTCTTATCTGATGTTAAATAAATAAAAATATTAAGTGGTAAAGGTGACATGAATAGTTAATCACACTTAGACTCACACTTAGACTCATTTACCTTCTTCTTTTTTTCCTGGTAAATTAATAAGACTTTAATTTATTTTTTCTTTTGTGAATTTTGAAAAGACTTGCTTAGCAAGAAATTAGCGTAAACAAATTAAGTGATCAGATTGGAAGGTGAGCATATCTCGGTAGTAGGAACAAATCGGCAGAAAAAACCCAGAGACGTACAAAACCCCAATTATAAATGGCGGCGAATTCTAAGTTGCCCGCCACGTTACTACCAGCTGTTAAAAAGTAATTTTTTTTTTAAAAGTGGGTTAAAATTAAAAAAACACTAAAATCACCCACCAAGCCAGCACAAGTTGAACTGTTACCATGGCAACGGATTACAAAGTGACAACAATACCCTCGCATGCTTACCTTATTTACCCACGAGCAGAAAAGAGTAAGTAAGTAAATTAAAGCGGTCAAACAATTTGACCGACGAATGTAGCAGGGCCGGGCATCTTGGGCCTCACGTGACAGGCCTCACGGAGTTCAAGATGCACAAGTGAAATGATATTTGCTGAGTCAGCAGCTTATGATGTTCGCTCATTGGGGCCGAACTTGTCTCGGACCCACCATGTATACGTGTAACAATCGGGACGTATTCTCGGGATGTGGCGGACCGTATATGGTATCTGTTTCTCATATCTCCACGGTTATGACCGGAACCAGTAACCGGCTTCTGATATTTTTACTTACTTTATAAAAAATAAAAATAAAATAAAATATTAGAACAGTAATTTGGGATTTTCTAATTTCGGCTATTGAGATCCTATAAAACAGCGATGGAGTGTTTTGGTGGTCACCGAAACTAAACATACAAAACAAATCGTTTTGCTTCTTCTTCACTCTCTCTCAACTCTGAAAACATTCCGCATACTTGTTCCACCCCTACCTCCCTCTTGACTCTCTCTCTCGCGCTATATTCTTGTTCGATTATTCTTCAACACTTTGCTGGGATTTGATAAGAGTTTCCTGATTAAGCCCCCTCAGGTATCAAACACTGTAGAAATCAAAGAAAAACTTCCCTGTTTTGATACTTTTACAATCAGGAGTGAATTGGCTGGGCAACTTAACTCACTTACCATTTATGCTTTTCTGCTTCCTCCTTTAAGACCCTCCTTCCTCACCACTCTTTTAACATCATTCTTCCCCTCTGAAACTTTCTCCTTTTCTCTTTCCTCTTGCCTTTGTTAAAGGCTCTTCCCTGTTCTCTGCTTATCTCTAAGTTTTTGAGTCTTCTTGCTTACTGGTCCTCTTTATTCTCTGCCTCCCTTTGTGGGGTCTCTGATTTCCGATGCGAAGATAGAGAGAGAGAGAATCAAAGAGCCTTCCCGTACCACCACTGAAAAAAGAACAAATCTTGGACTTGAAAATGGACTCTAGTATTCTATGTCCAATCAAATACACTGAGCACCGAAACACCATAAAAAAATTGACCAAACCCCGGAAGAAACCAACAACAGAGTCTACCTCTTCATCCATCCCGAGAATCGTTCGAATTTCTATGACCGATCCAGACGCCACGGACTCCTCCAGTGGCGAAGAAGACGAGTTTTTTGGGCGTCAGAGAGTGAAGCACTACATCAACGAAATCAACATCCAAACCGACTTCAGAAACACCTTGGTCCTCCCCAACAACGGCCGCAAACGCTCGACCGTCCAGCCTCCGGCGAGTCGGCCGATGGTGAAAAACTCCATTTCGCAGACCAATGGGAGCAGGAAGTTCCGCGGCGTACGGCAACGGCCTTGGGGCAAATGGGCGGCTGAGATTAGAGATCCCGCCCGACGTGTACGGCTGTGGTTGGGGACCTTCGAAACTGCTGAGGAGGCCGCTATGGTTTATGATAATGCTGCCATTAAACTCCGCGGCCCTGACGCTTTAACTAATTTTGTCTCACCGCTACCCAAAGAAGAAGAGAAGCCAGAGCTTCCCGTTGAGCCTCTCATCGAGGAGGCTGAGCCTGTTATTGAGTCTCTTGAGGTCGAGATCACCAACGGAACGACGTCGGGTTCTGGTTACGATTCCGGGTCGGAGTCTCACAACAATCTTTCATCCCCTACCTCTGTTCTTCACTTCAGAACTCAGCCCAAAATGGAAGAAGCTCATGAGCCGCAAAAGCTTCAGGTATTTGACCAAGTGATGCAGGAGTGTGAAGATGAGACCGGTACGAATTTCGTATCTGACGATTTGGGTAATTATTTGCCTCTGGACTTGCCGTACTTGGATGACGTGTTCAGCTTCCCAGCCCCGGATTCTCCCTTGTTCTTCGATACGCCGATGTTTTTCGACGACGCCACCGCCGCGGCCGCGACGCTTCCCGAGTGTTTACTGAAGGAGGATTTCAGCGACATGTTTGGTGACACATACGACACGTCGTTGTCACCGACGACGTCGTCTATGTGCCAAGGAGGGGAGGACTATTTTCAAGACATTTTGTTTGGTTCAGACCCCCTTGTTGTCCTCTGAGAGACTGAGCCTGAGCCTGAGCCTGAGCCTGAGCCTGAGCCAGTCAGAAGCCACAGTTTGGCCGCCGTTGCCTGACCGATTTCTGGGTCAGATTTTTGTTGTTACGGACCAAATTTCGGCATCTTTTTAAATTATTAATTTTGCTGTGTTAGTATTAGTAATTACTTATTTATTCGTTTAAACATCTCCGTTAAAAAATTGACGGAGAGAGATTAGTTGAGTGAGAGTTTTGTGGTTTAGCGAGTGTATAATTATTTATTAATTTTGACGGATTAATGAAGGTATTTATATAATGTTTTAAATATATATTGGCTTTAACACAGTCATCGCCTTTTAACTTTGTCTTTTGATAAGCATAATTAATTAAATTAAATTTGTTAATTACTGAAGTCACCCACCGTGGCATTCTTTCTGCCCAAACCACGAGTAGAGAGAGATTAGGAGTAGTCGCGCGATTTGCGGTGGTGGCTGGTTAAATTGGGTCAATATAGGTGTGAATTTTTTGGAGCTTTTGTTTGTTTCTTGTTCATTTTTTTCAACGTTTATAATGGCTATTGTTATATTGTCACACGTTCACATAAATATGGCCTTTTTATGCGGCGAAAGCATAAGCTAACAAAAACTAAATGTGGCCTTTTTATTGTGAATGTTATGTGATGTATTAATGGCTAATGAGGGATTTAAATCCGAGCTGAGCTGGCATCATTACTTTGGCAAAATCTGAATTGGCAAGCATGGAAAATGGAAAATGATCCTTCCCGCCAAGTATAATATTTATTTACAAAAATATCTAGTTGTTTTGCTTTTGATTTTGACTGGTTTTCAAGATGCTACAACTAGGAATGTAGCAATTCAACCTTTTAAGTGGAAAACTAAAAGAGATGGTACTATGAATGCAATATTTTTGTTGGTGATAAAAAGTTTGGGAGGAGGGGAGATTACCCCATCCTAGAATCAGGGCATACTAAGACTTTTTTTAGGACTTACATAAGCCCCTTGCTAGTGAAGAGAACGATCCTTATCAATTCAACAAACTCTTGTTGGCTATGAATGCAAATCTTTTGCAACTAGGATTTGAAATATTGATGTCATTTTAAGAAATATTATGGGGGAAATTAACTCGTGAGATGAATGTTGTTGTTGAATATTATGAGAAGATTCGTGTGCCTATTTATCACAAATTAATTATTTAAGTGGCCCTTGCAATTTGCAAACACTGGTAATTGCGTTGCTTGAGAGTAAACAAGAGGAAGTAGCCCCCATGATTATGTCTCAAATAAGTTGATATTTACATGTTAATGGAAAGACTCAAGAGAAAGAAAAGTAGACAATTAATCATAATTGTGTCTAAAACTTGATTAACCTACGTATCTCCACTCATAAATATAGAGAGTTTACCCTAAACCCTGATGCAATTGGCAATTTGACAGTACTCTTTTATAATGTTAAAATGGTAATTAATGAATTACTTTTGTAGCAGCATAATTGGCACCGTAATTATCACATCACATCACATCAGTTTAGATTAGAGTTGTGTTTTCCGGGTGTGAAATCATGGAATGGAAGGAAAAGCTTTTTAAGGTAGAAACACATAATTTGATTTGAGTTGACCCATTGCCTCCGTCTAGCATTATTCCAATGCAAAGGGCTCCTCCATAAGACTGTGGACATGATGCATGGAGCCAGCCGACGGAGGTTTGCTTCTTTTTATTTCACAGTTGATGAGATTGGTGAGATTGGTGATGGAGGGAGGGAGGGACCGGTTGGTAAGGAAAATGAAATGAACTGGGTCAATGTATGCAAAATCAAAGAAAATGGCATGCAATTTGGGCGTGTAACCCATGAAAACAATTCATAATTTCAATTTCATACGCTTTGTGTGTTGCTGACTTCTCCACATTCAATTTCATATAGAATGAGAATGCCGCAAATAAAAATTTAACAAAAGGGCTCTAAAGTTTGACTATCTATGCTTTTCTTTCTTCTTATATTTTTCCCTAATATAAGGCACAACTACATAGGCAGCAGGCAGGCAACTTCTTTCATGCATCTTCCCTAATATTCTCAAAAAGGGAAATGCCATTCAATACCGTTTCCCTAATTAAGTAAGTAAACGCATTATTATGATCATTAATAATTTCCTAATTACAGCTTTATCTTTACTGATAACGAGAGAGCAAGAAACAAGTACATAAATTGATTGTCACGTGTTAAATGTGTGTGTTTTTTTGTTTGTAATATATATACATATATATATGTCACATGGAATGGAATGGAACTTTTAATATCCCCAAATGACGTACCCGGATCTATGAAGGAGACCAAGACCTGGACTATAGATTTCTCTACATGTCTAGAGTCGTAGGTGGTGTCTCTTACAGGCTAATAGGCTATGGCTAATCAAAGGAAAAGTCTTTCACAAATGATTTATTTCTATTTACGGCTATTTATTATGTCCTTGACCGATGGGGGATTTAGATTTTTTTAGGGTAAGTTGGTTGATTTGTCATTTATTATCTTCCTCTCTCTCCCTAATTAATTAGTGAACTCAATAATCGACTGTCAAAGCACACAAATTTTTGAACAATGAATGTACTTAGATACGGAGTCTTCATTCACCGTTTTAATGCGCACCCAACTCAACTCAATATTTTGGAAATAATAAAATCAGAAGGAACGTAGATTCTGGTATTATAAATTATGGTTTAAGCAACTCACACACAGAAAAGTTTGATATACCAAAACAAAGCATGCACTCTCTCTCAATCATCACAAAATGATTGCAAACTCGTTTTTGAAAATTACCACACCATTAAAAATAAATAATAAAAAAACATTGATGATCATGTTGTTTTTTTTTCACGTGAGATGTTTTTCTTAAATTACTGTCTGTGTGTGTGTTTTTTTTCTTCTCGTTTTTGACACAGAAAATAATGAAAACATGGTTAGGTCAAAAGTGAGAAAGTGGCATATATTATGCATCATTGCAAGTTGGTGATGGTGTGCTGACAACTTTAACCAAAACGCATAAACACAAACTGACGCTTTATGTTACAAATTGAATTCGTCGAGCAACTTTTCTTCCATACTCACTTAATTTTCAATTGTGCCAGCAACGGCCATCAACAGTATTGAGAGAAGGTGGTTGCTGACAAAAATAATAAAATTAATTAATTAATGGGATGGAATGGGATTAATCATTAATTATTTCTTCTTCTTGTACCCTCCCTCATCTACTCTCTCTAATATATTTAATGAGCGTGTCACTACTCACCACCAGCACCAGTCAACCCAATTTATTTTCTTTTCTTTTTAGGGTTCATCATTCGTGAATAATTCAAGGGAAGGGAGCGTAGTGCACTGCAGATATTGTATTTGTCTGTCACTATTTGAAAAAAGAAAAAGAAAATATTTGATTTGATTTGAAAGGAGAGGGAAAAGGATATGGAAATTTCATTTCTGGAGAAAAACCAAACAAGAAGAAGATGGTGGGTGAGGTGAGGGGTAAAATGTGGTAACTAGTCAACCTTTGATTCCGAAGACAACTGTCACAGATTGACATTGTTTCATAACGCATAGGAATAGGATATTAAAAAACAAAAACAGCAGATGCATGCACGAATAACCACAGTAAAACGTACACGTATACATAGTAATTTTTATAAAATATTATTAAAATTCTAAATTTGCTGTTTGTTACGTTGTCTGGATACACTGTTCTGTTCTGTTCTATGCGGAAGCAAAGCATTAGTGTATTTATATAGCAAGACGAGCCTGAGTGCTGGGCACACACTTCCTTATTACCTGCACACCATGACCTAAAAGCCATAGCATAGATATTGTACGTATAAGTTAGCTACAATCGTTTATGCGTGCATAAACGGACATAGCATAGATATTGTACGTATAAGTTAGTTACAGTCGATTATGCACGCATAAACGGACATTTCGATTTATTGATTTATTGATTTATTATACGTACCAAAGCTCTTACAGTGTACTCGGTTAAATTCAAATACCAGCTGCTTGTATCACTTTTAAGTAGAAAATATTATGCTACTGTTTAAGAATAGTGATTTTGGGGGGTACTTGTCAACTAAGCAGAGGGGGGAGGTGTTGGGCAATTAGTAGAGGCAAAGGAGAGAGAGAGAGAGAGAAAGCAAAAGAAGTAGAGCAGGCTTTATAACTAACGTCAGAGACTAGTTGCAAGTTGCATGCATGGTTACTAATGGTTAAGCTCCTCTGATTTGCTGTAATTTGCAAGTGGGGTTCTTTCTCCTTTCACTGTGTCTGTTTTCGAATTTCAAGTGATGAATTTTTGTATGTATACCAAATTAATGAACAGTGACAACACACAACCTGAACCCGATTGTAAGTTGTATCTCCCTATATAGATACAGACTACATTTGCTTTTCTTTCCTTCCGTTCCTGCCTGGTCCCCCCACCACTTTGGCCTCAGAACAGCAGCAGCAGCAGCAGCAGCAGCTGCCTGCAGCCACTTCTCATGGATCGCCCACCCTATAAATCTTTGATTTTTCTTCTTTTTTGGGGCTACATTAATGCTTCCACATGCATTAACTGGAACATGTCTTACAGTTTTATATTCAATAGTTTTAAATATATCTTACGAAGAAGTAATTAGGAGCAATTACCTCTAAACCTTGAAGTTTTGTTGATGGGTCATCAAACTTGAAACAGTTGAGTCCTAAAGTGTTTAAGAGAGGCTCCACCAAATCGTGCTTAATTAAAGAGAATGATGACTTTTTAGTTGAAGGTTGACGAATCATGTTCGACCTCTCATCACTCACGTTCTCGTGTACGGCAACCGTCCAATCTATCTAACACTATAAACACTTTCCTCCTTTCTTTTTTATAAAAATTTTAATCTTAATTTTTACCTTTTTTAAAAAAAATAAATAAATTAAAGAGGTCAGGAGGGCCCATGGGCCAAGAAGACAAATGGGGTGGGTAACACGTGAAGAAAATATATGGGGCCTCTGCTCTGCAACCTCCCAAATTTGCAACTGTCTCCCATCTCTATGCACACGTGGCAAACTCCCATTAGCAGTCAGCACTGCTTTATCATGAGACACGTGGCACCGGCACCACCTCATGGATCCCACCAGCGGAAGACGCTACTCAATTTCACCTACCGACAGCGATGGTGAATGGAGTTATGGCCTTATGGGACGGAGAGAATGTGTGACATTTCTCTCTGCATATAGAGGAGAATTTTCTTGAATATGGACCATAGTCTATAGTACTCATTAAACTTGAAATCAAAGCAATGTCTTTTCTGTATT